GTATAGTTAATATTCTGCACTCCCACTGTGTTCAAGATTTTTTCAAACAACTCTCAACATTCTAATAACCACAAAAAGAAACAAAACCATCATGCTGCTATATGTTAAATTATTATAACATGCATGCAATCCTAAGTTTTGTTTAAAGATATTAGTTTAAAGTATTAATCAAAATCTAGCTTAAAACAAAGTTTCATAAATAATAAATAACTCTTTTCGAAAATTGAAAATTTCAAGAACTAATTCTACTCTTTTGTCCACAAAATAATTGCTCAGTATTTTTAGTTGAGAAAAATAGCAGATTTCCAGTCTGTACATTTCACAAACATCTAATATGCTTCCCGCATACGGATCCGCTAAGTTGTGTTTATAAAAATGCAATTAAAACGTGATTGTTATATAAAATCTAAATAATTTTATTGTAGAATAAGAAAATATATATGTACCAAACAGTATTCTGATGCAAATGCTTAAAGAGAAAGACTAAAATAAGCCAAGTAAACAACATTAATCCTCACATACCAAACGGAACGAATTGTAAAGCTGCCAGCAAAAAGTAACAATAGTTTTCAAGAATATTCTTCTTGTTACTGAATTATACAACAGGCGAACAGTTTACTTGCGTAAGATTCAGTCGATAAACATGCATAAAATAAATAAAAATACATTCTTTAAAAAAACATTATTTTTATAAACCCAAACTTATTGTAAACTAGATGTTTTTGTTAGTTTCCATAAAAAAGGGCAATAACGAAAACATATTCAATACTAGTTTCAGAACGGTGACAGTTTCAAGCAATATCCATGAGCCACAAATTAGACAAGTACTATTCTGTGATGGTTGGCGCAGGTATTAAATATCAGAAGAATTTTGTTTCAAAAAATTAAATTCTTGTAAGAATATAATTTTTGTTGAAGAAAAATTAAATTTAGATGTTTGCAATGGAGTTTTAAACTGTGAAGAAGTAGAATTACCATTGCATTTCAAATCCCCTTATCGGATATGAGCAGATGCTACATTATATGAAACAAGAATTTGAAGAATAATAATAACAGAAAGAATAAATAACGCAAAGATTAGACAGAGAGTACTGAAAAGAATCCTTTATTCGCGAAAAAAAAACTATTTGAGATTTACACCGAAGAGCCATTACATTATGACCACCCTACTAATAACATGTAGGACCACCTTTAGCCCTCAAAACAGCTAGCACCCGCCGTGGCATTGATTCCACTAGGTACTGATAGGTAGTCTGAGGTATCTGGTACCAAGCGCTCACCAACTGATCCTGCAATTCCCTCACATTGCGAGGGAGTAGCGTGGCAGCACGAATTTGGTTTTCCAAGTAGGACCACAAATGCTCTATTGGATTAAGGTCAGGTGAATTTGGGGGCCAAGACATGACTTGAAAGTCACTGGAATGTTCCTCGACGGTTCGACTCTTATGACATGGAGCATTATCCTGTTGGTAAACACCATCCCCCGCAGGAAAAACTGTTGCCATGAATGGGTGAACCTGGTCTGCAACTATGTTCAAGTAGCTTACAGACGTCAGGGATTGTTTTATGAGGATAATGGGTCCTAATGTGCCCCATAAAAACATTGTTCCTGGGCAAGAAACCATGAAAACCTGGGCGAGCCCATTGTTATAGATGGATTATGGTCATAATGTAATGGCTCTTCGGTGTATATCGATAACTAGACCATCTCATTTAAATAAAATTTTAAGGTACGGATTTTTACAAAATAGAAAAACAAAAGTGCACTAATGACTGTAGTGAAATAATGACTATCATTCTATAAGTTAAAAACATTCCAGCAAAATTTTAACGATAATTGAACTTTTATCTAAATAATATCAACGGTGGTAAAAAAAAATAATCTATTTAAATTTTTCGGTTTCCGCACAGGTGCGACTACTGAATAAAAGTTTTAATGAATATTTCGTGAGAGAACGGTCATGTTAAATGCTAATTTTGTTGTTAAAAGATAGGAAATGTACCATATTACTTTTGGCATGACGAGGGAATGGGTATCCATTTCCGTTCTGAAAATGAATTCGATGTCATTGTTTGGTTTCATTAGAGTAATTTTAGAGAGACTTAATTAAACTTTCACGAAACAGAAACTTCAGTAGTACTCATGGTGTAAAATTTTAAACTAAATCATATGAAAGTTTAATAATTTGTTCTCCTAGATAGCTTAAAAAATCGATGTTTATTGATTCTTATGCCACACTGTAACCACAATGTTTAATGTTGTGGTAAACTATAATGTTTTGCAGTACATGAAGGAATATACTTTATTTACTTTGTCACTGTTACAGTTTCAGTCATTTGTTTATAGATATTTTTGTTTGTTTACTGACTACGCATATTTTCACGAGCATTAGAATCAATTTAATGACTTCATGAACACATAGTTTAAAAACAGGCGCAGTTTTCTAACGTATTCGAATTATTTTTTATTTTGTCAATTTTATATGATTTTATGCGCGATAACTTCAGTTTTAAAAGTATATTTAGTTCACTTCAACATAAAAAATGGTGGCAACTATGCACTAAAAACTTTTACAGTTTATTTGTAATGCGCGGAAGTGCATTAAAACCAAACATACAGGGTTATTCATAATTCCCTCCGGGCAGGAACAGGACTATCGCATTGATGTATGCCGTGTGACCAAGGTTTCACTCATAGTACACCGGTAATGTATGTAAGTAAAACTTGAATAGTTTCGGAATAATTTCATATGTTTCTTTTTTTCATATTCATCTTCTTTTTTTCTAACTATAACGCTTCGAAACCCCGAAGGGAATTATGAATAACCCTGTATGAAGCTTCAAAATTTATCAGATTTGTTTCATTTAAACTTAAAATATTCTTAGTTATGAAAAGAAATTAAAAAATTTGAGTATTTTTATTTTTGAATTTTTTTTTTTCGCAATTGATTTTTTTTTCAACATTATTGGTGACTTATTATAGCATCGCACTCGTCCGCTACGCATGATAAGTTCTTTGCGCTAATAAATTTGCGCAAAATTGAAAATTATATTCAACTTCATAAATTATTTTACGCTTTGTATTTTGTTGCCTTCAAGACAAGAAATGGTTCTAACTTTAGCCTCCTGTGGCGCTGCAAGTCATCTAATCAAACCTTGTCTAACCCCTTTATTGTACCTAGATACTGTTTATATTTACCACAAAGTTAAGATTTGTGCAATTATATTTTTATTTCCAATGAGCTGCACAATCAGTCTACCCGGTGATCAGACCTGGTGCGTCTCCAGAATTGGTATCCACTCTTTCAGGACCACCACAATGGGTGAGATACCGTTGGCCATGTTAATTTGGACGTCTAGTTTCTATCACACTAGATGGCAGCACCGAGACTTTATTTGGATGCTAAAGTGCACTAGGAATTTAATTTTGCCGGAAAAGCCAAGAGCCAATAAGGCACTCCAGGCATCTCTTACATGCCGCATAATCATACGACATGGCCGCTGAGGATTTTCTGCATCTCGAAAATCCGGTGTCTGGGTCGGGGATCGAACCCGCAGACTGCGACAAACCAACTGCGCCACCCAGCCGCTTTGTGAAATTATATATTAACACTATATGCTTTATCCAGAAACCAGTACGCAAAAAAACTGAAGAAAAAAACAATGTATTTAAGCAAACAAAACTTACGTTCTGGTAGCAATAACAAACTTTTTAAATCAAAGGAAATTATCAAAGCTAACCGCATAAATCAAAATTAAATGTAACGACTTCAAATAAATATTCATAAGAAAAGAATAAATATTTTGGTCTCAGTAGTAATACAAATCTAATTATCTTAATTAACTTTTGTGTCATGCTTTCGGCATTTTACGCAAACATGTAAACATATATATATGGCAAAACTTAAAGTGAATTGCTTTGAAATAAAATTACGCTATTCAAACTTGTTTGGATGCAATTTATTATCATGAGACATTTAATTAAATTAACTACTTTTATCAGAAATGAAGTATTATTCATTTATATATGCCGCCTTTATTTAATTATTGTACTCGTGTCTTCAAACAACATAATTTTTTTTTAAAAAAAGCAATAACTTATTTAGTTTACGAGTACAGGAGAGTTTTCAATAAATCCTTATATTATACTCTGACATTATTCTTTAAGGATTTATAATAAAGGCTTACTACTTCGGAATGCGATGACAAATAACTTTCAGATAAAATTTACTTGTGAAATTCTTGCTTTTGTAATTATAGAAAGAGTAGAAATAAATTTTGTAAATTATTATTTTTACGTATAATTATTAAATATTAACTAATTAAGAAGTGACACCTGTATTAATATACTCGTACGTCAATTAAATAATATTCTTTTAGTGTATTCGTTTGAAATTATGCTTTATTTTTTATTTATAGGAGAGAAGGGGCTAGTTGTCTAAATTGGGCTACAGTGGACATCATGAATAACTTGTGCCAAATGGTCAATCAGTCTATCAATTGGTACATCAAAATAAAAACTCCAACATTTTACGAAGCTGCTATTTTTAACGAAGTTTAGGCCGTATTTTTCTTCCACAGTGTTATAGAATATTGCATAAAAATTAGCATTATATTTTTAATTTTTCAGGCCTTGTATACATATATTGGATTACTTGTTGCACCGTAATGACCACCTGAATTATATTTTTTGAGTCCTTAGCAAAAATGAAGTTTTTAGAAACATCTGAACATCTAGTGCATTTTAAATAGGAGTATCATCATCACCTGGCACTACAACCAAATCAGAGTTGTAGCCTCCTTTAAGATTTTGAACTTTTCTGTTGATCTTGTAGTTGGTAATTTTAAGAAATTTCAAGTTCTATCTACTCTCTCAATCCAGTTTTTAAATCTTGACAATCTCGGTTTTCTTCACTTCTTTCCCTTCTTTTATTCACTTCCCGGTCACTTTTGTCCGAGTTCATTTATAGTGTTGCGGTACGCATAAGCAAAGTATGAGCATGGCATGGGAACGACTAATAGGTCTAACTAAACGGTGCCTTCGAAAGTCACTTGGTCGCTCATTACTAGATGAGGAAACCTTAGCTACAGTATTGGTGGGAATAGAAGCCTCGCTCAACAGTAGACCTTTGATTTACGAGCACGGTGAGAATGATACAGAAGAAGCTTTGACACCATCTCATTTCTTAACTGGTCGAAAGCTTACTACTGTTCCATCTGGACCTGAGCTTAAAGGTGATAAACTCACTAATATTTACAGAAAACAACAAGATGTACTTGATATGTTTTGGAAAAGGTGGACTAAAGAGTATTTGCTGGAACTGCGTTCACATCATCAAGTAAAAAATGTTCGGCAATCACCACGAGTACGAGTAGGAGATTTGGTTCTACTGCAAGAGGATGTACGACCAAGACACGTGTGGAAAAAAGCTCTCGTGGTTGAATTAATTAACGGTCGGGACGGAAAAATTCGTACTTGTATTCTTCGTGTCGAAGGAAAACATATTACC